CCGTCAGCGGGGTTGATCTTAAGCTATGGCTGTGGCAAAAAAGATCGATAGAAATAGCTGAGAGACGTGCGAAACAAAGGACCCGCATGGTGTGGTGGTGAACGCGTTACTCCCCGGAAAGGATAATAGCGCGTTCGTTCCCCACCATAGACACCTGCGGTCCAGAGTTTTGCAAATATCTCAGCAACGTTGTGGTTGAAATTTACTAATTTCAATAAAAATGTTAGAACCACAAGTCCCTATCCCAATCCCTACAGAATAGAAGCCCTATTGTATTGCCATGACGAAATCCTAAGTTTCTGGAACTCCTCTACATTTCGAAAATGAAAGCACGTTGTCCTCCACAAGAATTTAAAAAACACAAACTAGAAAATACATGCATACACCTAAATAGATATAGCAAGGTCTCCTCTATGAGCCGATTGTTTCGAACTTTTAAAGTACTCTTACTTACTAGGATACTTGGACGGCCCGTCCTCGTCGGTTGTGCAGGTCCCAGCAAAATTTCCGTTCTTCGTACTTTGCCTGGCTTAGCCATTGTTTCCCTGGAGTTCCGAGATCAGCCTGGCCAATGTCTGTCCCAGGTCGTCACCACCACAGGCAGTCGCCATCCTTGTGGATCAGAAGGAGATTTGCCACCGAGCGACTAGTTTGATACCAGAGCGGTGATGGATCCCGGTATTGGTTTACTCTCAGGTAGACCTCCTGATGGAAAAGCTGGACTCCTTCTCAGCCTATGAGACCCTGTCAGAGGTTGAATTCCCCGCTGTATATCGCAGCCCGACATCCAGGAACACATCCCAGTCACGATGAGGCGGTAAACCGTTAAGAGGTTTCAAGTACACTAGTTATCGAAGAATTAACAGCAGTTTGCGAAAAAACCAGCTTTGGGCACTAAATCTAAGTGATGGGCATGTTACTGCGCTATTTCGAAGCAGAGCTTTATATGTGGTATTATTCCAACCAAGTAACGGTTAGAGGTGCCCTGCAATAGACACAGGTTTAGTCGTTGGCCCCATCTCATGCCCTGGCTTCATCAAGTCTGCCACCTAACCGGAGTCACCAAATTGATATCATAGTTCTCTAGGAGGGTGAGAACACCAGTACATCGGTAGCACGCCGCGTATCACCGTATAGGCCAGATATTCATTCAGTCACCTCTACGATGCTACGGAGTGGAATATACCACGTAACCGTCAAGTTCCCCATTTCTAACTGAAATTTCCTTTGTTCTTTTTATTCAAAAGTATCTATTTTACGATCAAGATTGAACTTCCCATCCCTTATCCTTCACAATATGACTTTGACATCGTTAACCGGCTTAATACACACTATGCTATTCCAACATGAGTTATTTTTTGTACATCTTCTCATGACACCAAATAAAGGTCATTAAATTTTTTATTCAACAACTATCTTACCACGACCAGGATGCTCTTGGAACATGTTAAGTAAACGTAAAAGTGAATATTTAAGTTCAAAGTAAGTAAGTAAGTTTCAAATGCTAAGAGAGATTTGTAAGTGAGGTAATACCTGAAATGTCTCCCATACTAGTTCGATCACTTGATTATCTAACCACAACTTTCCGTAAGCACTAAATACTTGAGGTCAAGAGCGCTGCTTACACCACGAGTTCTTCATGAACACAAGTGAAACACTTTAAAAATCCTTAAATGTTGTTAAAAAGCTACAGTTAAATGTCACGGAGATTATTTCCTATAGTAAATAAGTAGTTATTGATCGGGCAAAATTAATACAAGTGACTGAGAAAAAAGTCACAATTTGTAGCGTAAAGAAACCCCTCACTCAAAATTCTGAGCTCTAATACATTTTCGATTTCATTCATTCATGACAGTGACACAACATACTAGACTTGGTCCTTTTAGTAGATTGCAGTTCAGAAAACTCTCGGCATAATACTCTCAGGCCCATTCGGCCTAAGTGGACCTCACTACGCATATTTTTTTCAGGATACCACTGCGTCCAGAGAATGAAAATGTTACGAATTAAAGTTTTCCTTTGTATGTTATTTCGTTGTTTTAATGAATTAAAATATTTCAAGGGTAGTTCCACATCTAAATAATATCGGTTGGGAGTTATAGTTTAAAAATCAAGTGAAAAAAGTGGTACTGAGAATAGAATATACACCAAGAGTGAGTAGAGATCAGTCCTTGATGGTTCTAATTAGTCGGTCCAAATCTGCGAGATTCTTCCTGAAAAAAGTGACAACACAAATCGCAGTTTCTCTATGCATTAAATATAGAACGGTGGAATAATGAAGATGATCTGCATTTCACTAATCTTATACAAACTACATTTTAACCTTCGTTTACTAGTAGAAGACCAAAATCATCAGGGAAGAAAACAACAAACTTCAACTTTTCGGATAACTCTTCACGTGTTGCTGTGATAACAGGTGAGTTATCGTTTAATAAGCGTCGGCAGTTGGGGCAAGTTGAAGCTGAGTGAGGTGATGTTGTTCTTGAACATGATGTAGGTTCAGTCCATGAGCTCGAACTAGATCGCATACGAACATTACTACTTGGACGACTAATCACTTCACTTGCCTCCATGGACATCTAAAATTACACCTAAGTAGCAGTTGAACAGTAGATTGCTTACTTTCACATAAAACTTGACCATTTCACTAATGGAATACTTAACCATAATTTCTATAAAGTTTATTCTCTTCAATGGACATTGAAATTCAACCTCAAGAATACTACTTTTAAGTGGCTGTATCGAGGTTTTGGCTAGATTACCCGAATTATGTACCCTTACGTGTTGCGTTACTCAGTGAAATTGAAGTTAAAAATGTGAAATACGAAAAAATCTACCGTTATAATTGGCACTTCCCCATTTATGTTAGCTGTCCCAGTAAGATCCACCATCTCATAATCAACTCGGTGTGCGTCTTCAATAGGAAGAGGTATCGACACGAATCCTAGGGTCTGCAAAGAAAATATGATAGACACTGAAGAAGTTGTAGTTAGTCGTTCATCAACAATAAGCAGGCCATCACACACCAAAATACCCAAAAAAGACTTAGCAACGAACATGCAAATTAGGGTCCCAAAGCATATCGCGAAAACCAAACAAATGTTATGACCGGTTAGAAAACTCAATATGTTATTGACGAAAACCGGAATGCAGTCATACATAAAAAGTAAATTTCAGTAATGTAACGTATCAAGATGAGCGCTGATAATCTAACAGATTTTCTGAGTCTTTTCACTTGTCAACATCTTTCATATGATTCGTATTATTTTCATGTAAATTCTGACCTTGTCACCATTGATGTCGTGATGGAATACTTTCACTATTACATTGCGTCGCTCTCCACAAATATGAAAGCGTGCTGTCCAGTTCCAAAGCGGACGACGAGATCGCTCACAAACTGTAGAACGGAGTTCCCCATCTCTTCCCAACACAGAGATGAATGAATTTGGCGACACATAGCGATTTCTAGAAGCCCTCCAATGGAGCAGACGTGTAAAACTTCCATACTTCAACAAAGCTAAGAACAAACAAACCTCTCATCTTGAACAAGAGGAAGACCTCTGCCTTCGTGGACAGTAAGCTGTATCAAGCATTTGCTCGCCGGACTTGCTCGCTCTCTCTCTCTTACACTTGATGATGTATCAGATCGCACTGCTGGACGGAATTCTCGACGAGGCATCGGTTCAGGTAAATTTCGGGTGTCTCCATAAGGAGCCGTAGGGTGAGAACTACCACAGACTGAACCATGATCATCGAAAACCGAGTCAGAAAGATCGGTAAGGTTTGAAGAAGCCCTTTCACGAAATGGCACAGTCTTGTCCTTCGCAGCAATCCCATCTGAGGGTAGTTATTTTAGTTCGAGATCTCATACACAATAAAGGAATCGATTCCATAAAAACACATACTGGACGCAAACGTATGCATTGGTGGTCCCTTCACACCTTCTTGTGAAGAGAGACTTTTTTCTGAAACACAAGATGACAATATTGCAAAAAAAGGAACATTTGTTTTCTTAACCAACTAACGCACGCTTTGGCACTGGAGGTTCATTCTCACTCGCACGTGAACTATGGGAGGTACTCGGTAAACGATGAGTGTTGGTCGAATGCTTTCTGAGGGAACTTAAACGATAATAAAAAAATAATATAGGAATAATAAAAAAAGCACTTAACAATATGTTGAATTTCACAGATGAAATAGTGGAATAAATCAAGAATACTCCTCTCAACGGTTTACCGCCTTGTCGTAGCTGGGTGTTCCTGGGTGTCAGGCTGCGATATACAGCGAGAGGATTCGTCCCCTGTACAAGTGTCCCAAGCTCAGGAGCAGTACGGCGTTCCCATCAAGAAGCCCAGCTAAGAGTAAACCAATACCAGGATCCACCACAGTCCTGTTATCAAACTAGTTGCATGATGGCAAATCTCCCTCTGATCCACAAATTCGGCGAAGGTCTATGGCGGTGACGACGTGAGGCAAACTTTGGATTGACTAACCTCGCGATTCCAGACAACCACAATGGCTAAACCAGCAAAACTCCCAGAAAATAGAAACTATGTTGACATCCGCACAACCGGTGATGACGGGTCACCCATGTATCCAAGTAAGTAATGCAGTACAAGTGTAAAAGTAATAGTAATTTCAGAAGCAAAGATAAGAGAAAGCAAAAGCGAAAACAGTCTTATGATTCATACAAATAAAATCTTCCACTGCGTTTCGAAGCCTTTACCTGCTTGCATCAACTACATGTGTTGACTCCAACAAAGGATCTCTCATTTCGTTCAGCTTCTCCATTAACTTTTTTTCCCGACTTCCAAGATCAATGCGAATCTTAAGTGGTTACTATAAAGTACTATTAAGAGGTATAACTACAAAGTTGTGATCTATAACATCTGTAAAACATAGATGATTGCACCACGTACAAGTGAAGAACCTTCAAATTTCATCCTCTTAGTAGGGATAAAATTGAAATCACGACAGATCATAAATGGAGGAATAAGGAGTTCAGATAGAGGAACCACACAATATCCGAGCAATCGTGTCTGCAAATAAAATTTAAACACTGAAAATTCTGAAAATGAATGATAAAAACTTAAGCCCAACTCACCGAAAATTTTCCTTGAGTGTTCAATTGAATATGTAGTCGAATGACGAGGCGATGTTGATTCCAAAGAGGAACCGTGTTAGGCGTCATTTGCAAAAGAACAACACGTTTGTGACGAAATTGAATAGATGTCATAGTGAAACTTTTCGCTGGTATTCGAATTGGAGCTTTCAAAGACAGTGAAATATTTTCTAAACATGGGAACTGGTATTCGAGATTGAACCTGAAACATAGTGATAATCTGACAAGGTAAAATAGCATGAAGAAAAAGGATATCTCATTTATAAATTCGATGACTCATCAAAGTTTCACATACGTCCCCTACAACAAAACTTTGTCCCACTAAAGGAACGAAACATTGTTTCACTTCTCAAAATTGAATCCGACACCACGTACGAGCGTCCAGAAGGATGAAAAAACGGTTAGTATTGTATTATAACTGGACTAACTAACAACACCCGATTGGTTAATCATTTACGCCATGAAACAGTATATAGTGTTAAGATCGATTGAAGAAGAATTTCACATCCTGCCTGATGTCATGCTGTTATCAGAATAATTGGTTTACCCCATTTGAGGATTGCGTGCCCAGAACCTGGATTTGAACCGTTTGCTCCCGACCCTTCTGCATGTAGGTGGTACACTTCATATACATGTTACCGAAGACGTCGAAACGTTAGCCGAATAAAACAAAAAAAGGCATAGTGTTACTTTATGCAACTGAAAAGAATAAATCCAAAGTGGGAACGTGAATCCTACCCATAAAGTGACCCCTCATTGAACAATCTTTCAATTAGGGGATTTTCTTCGGGTAGAACTATTTCGTCAATGTTTATCCGAAGATAAGAAAGATGGGAGAGAATTCGCTCTAGTTGCAATTCAGGATCGTTACACTCTAAAAAAAGAAATTAACACATTATGTACTTAAGAATTTACTTAAAATACTTAACAATTTGTTTTCACATATGAATCTTGTCTTCAGATTACATTTAAAACCACATTTGGTGCCCATAGGATATCTCGTTCAAACATTCGGACACTTCAACAAACAACGAACTAACACCTAGACATTTTCAAGTCGAAAAAAATGGCAAGTTCAATACTGAAAAGACATGGAATGTCGTACCATGGTTACTTGTCGGCAAGTTAACTGATTGAGTCCGACGTCTTTGCATCAGCTTGTCTATACAGCTAAGCTCATTCATTAATGGATTCACCTTTCATATGGATATGAGATAACTGAGGTTGTAATTAATCCTCTTTTAGCAGAAGACAAAAAAGCACACGAAAAACTTATTTATTCAAAAAAATTGACATAACCGTTGTCATCGCTCCAATCGGCATCAAATAACTGTACAAACATATATATACACTTTTAGTTTGAAACAATCAAATTGCTACAAATTCCTTAAAAAAAAACTTAGTACAGCATTCTATAAAGGCTAAATAAGCATAAATCGAAGAATGTCAATGACAGTCTCATTTTATGAGGAATAATACCACTTAACCAGACTTTTATAGCACATCTAGTCCTACAATAATTTTCAGACGGGCTCCTTAACCAAACGTAAGGATCGCTGGAACACTGGTGACCAAAGAATATCGGTTTACATAGTCTCACCACTAGTTGACCCAGAAATTCATGGGATACAATATATGAGAGCATATACAGACCAAACGTCAAAAAACCACTAAGCAGACATCTCTTAATTACTCGAAAGACCGACTTTCTATAGACCTCGGCATAGATAGTTGATATATCTATTCATATGATCTTATAAACTGATCTTCTTAAGGTGATGCGAGGTTGGTACGGGTCTTCGTTGTCATTGTCGTTGTTGTTGGTCGATGGCTGACGTTTCGGCGACCTCGCCTTCCTCAGAGCTGTGATATTACGTGTCAGCCATCGACCAACAACATCAACAACAACGACAACGACAACAAAGACGTGTACCAACCTCGCATCAGCTTAAGAAGATCAGTTTATAAGATCATTTAAATAAATATATCAGCCAAACATAGAGTGATGAGAGAGTATGACTCTCAATAGCTTTTAAAACTTTAATTCATTTTTATCCTTAGAACGCGTAAATTCCGCCTTGACATCTTCAGGGCCCTCCAACTCACATGTTTAACTGAGTGACTGATTTAATGAGGAGTTCACTGTCACGATTCCCATACAACACCTCTTCCATCACAACCACCTTCGGCATTTGCAGTCAAGGATTCCACATCGTTAGCCCATACGTTTACTGAAAAATTTGATATGTTGATTGGAGCAATCACATTGAAGGCATCGGAACAACTAACAATTGAAGGAGTAAACATCAATGTTTCTACTTGTGAGAAACGAAATCTGCTCTTTCATGAAAAAATATACGCACTGAAACTACACTTTAGCATAAATCACCTACGAAAATGGTTACTTGCGAGTTCTATAAAGCAATAAAACTAAACTCTTCCCAATGGTTTCCCTCCTCATCGTGGCTGGGAGGTGTTCCTGGATGTGGACTGCGATGTACAGCGGGGGGATTCGTCCTCTCGGCAAAGACTCCGAAGCCGAAAAGGAGTCCGGCCTTCCCATCAGGAACCCTAGCTAAGAGTAAACCAATACCAGGATCCACCACTGTCCTGGTATCAAAGTCGCATGCTGGCAAATCTCCCTCTGATCCAGAAAGGCTGCAACTGCCCGTGGTGGTGAAGACCCGGTACAGACTTTGGAGAGGCTGTCCTCGGGATTCCGAGGAACCACAATGGTTTAACCAGCAAATCTCCGAAAAGTGGTGATTATGCTGGCTCCCGCACAACTGGTGAGGACGAGCCGTTCAAGTATCAAGTATAAAACTAAATTAGAAGATGTGCCTTCAGAAAATAACTGTTTCTGTTAAAGTTCTAATAGTCCTAAGTCTATGAACTAATGTTGGTTTTAGGCTAGACGATTCCACTGTAGGAAAGAAATGTTCCAAATTTGAAGATACCTAAGTATAGCCGACAGATAGTTAAACTTGTATAAGATAATAAAAGCCAACCGATCTAGTGGATTTCAGAAATGGGAAGTAAGTTCTGACCATGCATGTCCATTTTGGCTTGGTGTTCATCATATAAAATGTGCAGTGTAGACCATAAATAACAAGCAATACTCAACACAAGGACAACATTCGGAAGAAACATAGCTCCTTGCAAAGAAAAATACTTGGCAGCTGAAGAGCTTTCATCACCTATAACGTTTCTATAAAAGCGCACTGTTTTATTACATATCAGCATTGAATTCACCTCGAATAGTATCGGAAATGAAACCGACAATATACGGTGAAGAGGCGTCACCAAATAAATGCCCCATCAATGTCTGAATGGCGGTAGCAGAAGCACGGCGATTTGGCACAATTACACGCTAAAACATGACTTTGAAGAAATAGGGAAGAAGACGGAAGTAACTAGACACGGGATAAAGGATAAAAAGAATAAAGCTCTCGGCGCTGATCAATCCCTGAGGGATGTGCCATGCATTCAACTTCATTAAGCACAATTTGGAGGTGATTGAATGCATATCTGGCCTTTACAATGACTTGCGGTAGCCAACCAATGTGTCGAGCCAGTCCTGCCATCCTCTCAGACAAGTCTGGTACTAATTTGCCGAGCCCGGAGGGATGGAAGGCTTGGTGGGCCTGAGGCGTGGGGACCGATCCTATGTGTGTGTTGCAGTGCGCCTTCGACCACTGTGCTACACGCCCCTAAGAGATATGGAATATGGCTCGAAGTCATAGAAAACCTGACTTGAAAAACGTACCATGAGAATGTCCATATTCAACGCCCAGTTGAGGCACATACTGGTAACCGCCACGAACATGAGCGCCTGGATAATTACCAAACTCAAAAAGAGATGACATACACCTATGAATTTAATAATCAATAAAAACGATACCCATGCGAAATTGAGTGAGTGGTTCGCTACCAGCAAAGTAATAAAGAAAAGTGGAGTTGCTAGGAAAGAACCAGCCGCACATACGAAAGGATCGGCTGTGGGCGAAACTCGAAAACACCATTTGCCTTCTTTCCAAGCCTAAAATGTTCTACTCTGAATATCAACTGCAAAAAAATGAAGTTAAATCTTTTCCGTGATGAATCTTTGAGGATTAAAGGCCGAAAGAAATGAAATCGTTGGCTTAAAAATCTACTCTATTAAGATTTAAAATAAAGAAGGAAACGCCGATATTCTTAGAGAACTCTATTGGTTTCGAACCACTCAACGCACCTGTGATAATGAAGTACCTGCAACGATGCCCACTATTCCAGCACTACAAGTTATCACCCCAAATATGACGGAAATGCTATAAAAATTTCATTTACATATTTGTAACCTAGACAGCAAAGAATTCCACCTCTACAGAAACTGACTGAGCAACTTCATCTTTCGGAACATCATCCAAATGATGTAGAATTCCGTAAGCGAAGGTCATCATTTGTGGAAGCCACCAACTCGCAGCACCCACACAGAACACAACAAAGGTGAAGCCAAGAGTTGTCAAAACGTAGGTTTTACTTGAAAAAAAAAAGCCTATGTAGAGTCAGAGGATGGTTGCTTTATAAAATCCCCACTCACACACTCATCAAATATTTTAGATCTTCCCAGATGGTGCTATGTTCGACTTCAGCATGTTCAGCTTCACCTCGCCTGGGTTCTTCTAGCACAACAATGATGAATACGAAAAAGATCATGCCAAGAAGAGGAGTAAATCTGAACATGAAGTCAAAAAACGATAAATTCTGTTCACTCCAAGCACACACAACTGATCTGCAAACAGTGATAAGAAACCACCTCGCAAAGTATTGAAAGTAAAATCACTGACCTCACGCCCCACTGCCAACTTCCAGACCAAAGAGAAATTGCCGAGCCACCAATAAATCCCAGTCCACTATAATTGAAACGTTTTCAAAGTCGGACGAACTAGTTTATCAGATATAAACTTGAGAAAAAACAACCATGATTAAAAACACTGTTTCCCATAGGTGCCCATGGCACACACAAAGATGAAGGCACCTTCCAAGAAGTAGGACGAATAGGTCTTTGACATAGTCGAAAATAAGTATGGCCAAAAAAAATTAACATCTACTGAAGTTTATCGAATTTTCGATAGGCGCAGCATTCAAACGTTGTTTGAAAGCTAAGGATTATGAAGAAAAGGAGAAAAAGGATATAAGACAGAGCGTTCGGCGTTGAGCAATTCCTTCGGGGTTCGCCTTGCACTCGCATCCGTTAAGCATCACGGAGATGATTGAATGCACTTCTTGCCTACAGACTGACTTGCGGCGGTTTATCATCGTATCAAGTCACTTCATTTACTTACTCTCTTAGATGAGTCTCGCGAGAAATTGCTAATTTGGGAAGGGAGCTGCGCTTGGTGAGTCCGAGGCGCACGATCGATGCAGTGACCAGCACATCCCTTACTACTGCGCTACAGAAGTCTTAAAGAAGGAGATAGGAAGCATAAGAAAGAAAAGTTCTTAGCGTTGATCAATCGCTGAGGGTTCGCCAAGGATTCACATCTGTCAAGCATCACCCGTATGACTGAATGCGTATCTAGCCCACATACTGATTTGTGGTGATTTACCATCATATTATGTCACTCTTTTTATTTAGTCTCAGATGATTCTGGTACCAATTTGCCAATTTCGGAGGGGTGCAAGACTTGGTGAGCCCGAGGTGCACGATCGAAGCGGCGGCCCATTCCAAAACGGGAGACATGTTAAGACATTAGTAAGATTACTGTTTCACTAAAACAGAAGAGAAGATCTAGCAGAAACAGCCACTTTATGGATATGAATACTTCTTATTTCCCCCTACTACAAATTTTCACGGCAAGCTGTTATATGAAATTTAACCACAATGACGCTGGGATATTTGCAAAGCTCCGGACCGAAGGTGTTTGCGGTGGGGATTCAACACCGCCGATGCGATAAATGCCGATTTGTGTTCCCCTGATCAATTTTGTTGAGTGATTGTTGGTTAGACTGTTAGATAGAAAACTAATTGAGAGAAAGGAGAAATTAAGGACCCGCATGGTGTAGTGGTGAACGCGTTAGCCCCAGAAAGCGTAATAGCGTGTTCGATCCGCACCGCAGACACCTGAGGTTAGGAGTTTTGCAAATACCTCAGCATCATTGCAGTAGAACACTTTTCACGCAACACTTTAAAAGCGATTTCTCGTCTCTTTTTCCGATTTTCGAGAATTTTCTTCCAACAGTTGAACGAAGAAATTATTAAAAAATGAAAGAATAGGTCCAGCAAAACATCTGTTTCAGAAACGGCCCTAGGAAACTGGACTTCTTGAGGAAACGTCGAATAGCGATAAAGAGAATGTTTTCCATAATCTTCAAATTCACCTGCCTACTGGTACAGCAAAATAAAAAATCATAAGAGCAGTACTTCGCATAGACCCGCTAAACATATCACCAATAATAGTTGGAGCGACAGTGGCGTATGTGGCTTCGCCAATACCAACTATCCCACGTAAAAGTAGGAATATGTTAAAGTGCTGAAATGAGCACATAAGTAAATCCAACTATCCACGTCACTCAATTGCTTTATCACAATAATTATGGTAACCATGTTTCTTGTACTACTTTATTCTGCTTCTTCATTTTAACGTATTAGCCTCCCAACATTTTATCGCCTCATCGTGGCTGAGAGGTGTTACTGGATGTAGAGCTACGATGTACATCGAGGGGATTCAACCCACCTCAACAGGTTTTCCTAAGCTGAGAAGGAGTCCAACTTTTCCATCAGGAAAGCTAACTAAGAGTAAACCAATACCAGGATCCACCAACGTCCTTGTATCGAACTAGTTTCATGATGGAAAATCTCTCTCTGATCTACACGGCCAGTGGTAGTGATGACCTGGGGTAGACTTTGGCCAGGCTGACCCCGGGATACCAGGAAACCACAATGGCTAAACAGGCAAAACTCCAAAAAAACTGAGATTGTGCTGGGGCCAGCACAACTAGCGAGAACGGGCCATCAAAGTATCAAAGTACCTCTTCAAACTAGTAACACTCTAACTCTATACAAATGAATTGGATTTCCTTTCACTGCACTAACATCGCGTCCAACCAATGTTGACAGCGCAACCGCGGTAATCCATATGACCATACCAACAATTATGATAAATTTTCGATTGTAACGGTCTCCAAGATAGCCACAGATGGGAGCGAAGCACATGTAGAAAATGACGAAAACTGTCTAAAAATGCAAAACTTAGCAAAATAAAACTTTTAGGCTTGGAGAAAAGCAGTTTTGCATGAATCTCATAATGTTGTTCCATACCTGAAGCATACCAGCTTGTTTATCATTCATATGAAAGTAATCTTGAAGTCGCCCAAGCACTCCAGCAACTGTGAAGCGATCCATGTAATTCAGAAGATTCACAGCTAGAAGGATAACTACCACCAACATTTTTCGTGGAAGTCCATCTAAAATAACAAAGAGTGAACAATAATGTAGTAGGGTAAAACATTTGGATGCTTGGACGGCTCGTCTTCACTTGCTGTGCGGGCGGCGCCAGTTTAACTTCCATTTTTTTGGAGTTTTGCCGGCTTAGCCAAAGTGGTTCCTTGGGGATTCGAGAACAGGCTGGCCAAAGTGCCCTAGGTCGTCACGACCGCAGGCAGTCGCTCCTCTTGTGATCAGAGAGATATTTGCCACCATGCAACTAGTTTGGTACCAGAATGGTGGTGGATCCTGGTACCGGTTTACTCTCAGTTGAGTTTCCTGATGGAAACGCCGGACCCCTTCTCAGCTTGGGAGACCTTGCTAAGGGGACAAATCTCCTTGCTGTACATAGCAGCCCGACACCCAGGAACATCTCCCAGCCACGACGAAGCGGTAAGCAGTTGGGAGGCTAATAAGATAGAATAACAAAGCAAAATAAAATAACACAAGAAACATAGTTACCATCATTATTGGGATAAAGCAATGGAGTTGTTGTTGAAGGTGCATCTTCCTGATCGTCCGTAACGTCTTCTTCCATCATCGTTCAACCAGCTAGCACTCCATAAAGGAATCTTCTAAAACAAATACGGGAATGCACACAAGTAACACTGCCTGGAACTAAAACACAACACAGGAATATCAAGTGCTGCCCAACAGAGGTCTATGAATAAAATGAGGAAAAGATTGGAGTTAAATGAGAAGACTGTGCTGTAAGAACAGGAGACCAGAGCAAGAGGATTGATCGAAGTAACTGCTTGCCTTGGAATTCCCCAAACGACTCGTCATGGTACACGTTCATAACGCTTTTAGTAAGTGTAAATAGACAGATAAAAATTGGCTGAGAGATGGGCGAAACGAAGGACCCGCATGGTGTCGTGGTGAACGAGTTAGCACCCGGAAAGAGTAATAGTGTGTTCGGTTCCTACCGCAGACACATGCGGTCCGGAGTTTAGCAAATATCTCAGCATGATTGTGGTTGTAGTTCACATAGTACCCTGAAGTGAAAAATTGTAGTAAGTAAGAAATAAAAAGTTAACATAGGTGGGAATTGTTATGTATATAAAGCACGACATGAATATGCGCTAAAGATCCCAGTTAAAACAAGTCAATAGAAATGATATTAATTAATCCTGTACACTAACAAACATTCTATTAGCGTCAAGGGATGTCGTTATTGGTCGAACATTAAAACAAGTACGATACTACCACAGTGATGCTGAGACATTTCCAAAACTCCGGAACGCAGGTGTTTGGCGATGCTGAGATATTTGTAGAACAACCAAGGCGATGCTGAGATATTTGTAGAACTCCGTATCGGAAGTGTCTGCGGTGGGGAATGAACGAACTATTAGTCTGTCCGGGGGCTAACGCGTTCACCACCACACCACGCCGGTCCTTCGTTCCGCCTTTCAGCCATGTTCTTGACCTATGATGCGCGCTATCAGTAAACACCCGCCAATAGGATTGATCTGGGGAGCACATATCAGCATCGAAGCCAGTTAACCTAAGGCTGTAGTTGAAATCGCAATGTTAACTTTTTATTTGCTATCCACTATAGTTTTTCACGGCACATATTATGTAAACTACAACCACAATCATGCTGAGACATTTGCAAGACTCCGAACCGTATATGTCTGCAGTGGGGAACGAACGCGCTATTACCCTTCCCGGGGCTAGCGCGTTCACCACCACACCATGCAGTTCCTCCGTTTCGCCTGTCTACAAGTATGACACTGTTTCCGCTTGCTATCCAACCAGAAGCTTTCCGGTGGATGTTTTAGACCGCATTAGAATTCTAAAGATTTGATCATCTTGAGTTCAACCACAATGTCGTTCTTGTCTAAAAGAATAGGGAAAGGGTAATGACAAACATTAACCCTCACCCATGATTCCAGAGTATATCTCAAATGAGACATCAACCACGGAGTTTTCAGACATGCAACAACTGCTGGGTTACAACATTCGACAGCGAGAGAAACAGTGTTGGCTTAGAAGGAAGACCTGAATACTTTCTACGTTTTTGGGAAAAAATAACATATGGGGGTTTTCTACCAGAATCAAATGAATGATTAGTGTGCAGAAGGTCGCACGACTCGTGGAGACATTATTCAAATATCTAAGAGTTGAAGACAGTATTCTAAGAGAAGAAAGTCCTCGTTCGGTTTTGCAGGAGCTTTTAAAGGAGCACTGCACCTTGAGCTCTTGCCAAGCCGTACTATCTTGACGGCATTTACCTAGCATTATAAATTCCTGAAATCGACCGATGTTATTAGAAAGGAAAAAAAGAACGTCGAAAACACAAAGGAGACAATGTTTTTCCATTACAGCGGCAGCCGACACAATGTAAAGATGGTTTGTCAAATAACTGATGAACTTGCACCATCTGAGAGGCATGGCATCCTACAATCAAACACGACTTAAGAATGATACTACTTCGACATTATATCGATGTTCCGTGAAAACAGGCGCATGTAGCGCAGTTGGAGGTGCCCTGCAACACAAATGGGATCGGTCCCGGCGCCCGTGATTAACCAAACCTTCAGTCGCTCTGGCGGAAAATTGATACCAGACTTGCCTGGGAAGATAGCAGCACTGTCTGGATACATCGATAGGCCACCGCGAGTCATTGCAAAGGCCAGATATGCATTCAATCACCTCCAACGATACTTAATGAAGTCAACTGCATAGCGCATCTCTCAGGGATTGATCAACGCCGAGAGCTTAACCTTTTTTATCCGTGACAAATTCGTAGAACACCTATATATGCGTTGGGAACATATGACAGATAACTATGGAAAGTGGGTATTGAAAAGTACAGTGGAGCACAAAAGCAAAAAAAATTGTGTTAGAAGCATTATAAAACGTTGAAATGTTCACAAGATGTAACAATCAGTACCTTTAAAAGGTACCATTTCGAATTCTGTCAACTCTGACATGTATGTTAACCGAAAATTGGACCTCCAACACTACTACGTCCCTAAAGGATAAGTAGGATAAAGCTCTCGGCGTTGATCAATTCCTGAGGGATGAGCCATTCATTCGATTTCATAGAGCACCGTTGGATATGACTGAATGCATATCTAGCCTTTACAATGACTCGCGGTGGCCTACCGATGTATCGAGGCTGTGCTGCTATCCTCCCACACAAGTCTGGTACCAACTTACGTGCCCTGGTGAAATCGAAGACTTGGTGAGCCTTGGCGCGGAGATCGATCCCATATGTACTGCAGGACACCTCCAACTACTGCGCTACATGCACCCTACGTTTCTAGAACAAATTAGAATATAACTGACATCCCGCTATGTTGGTTTTAGAGCACTGAATTTGAATTTCAGAAATCTGTAATACTACAGAGAATTTATCCGACTCGGGATCTGCAAAGCGCAGTCGACGCTCGAAATCAACGCTATAACCTTCGGCCTCGGACACGTAACAACAACTTCCCAACCTTGTCTCGAAGAATCCATTCTTCACGAGTTTAGAAAGAACACTGACCGGGAAAATGACCCGAAGGAAACGATCGGGACGGACACGAATCTTAGAGCCATCACTAACCTTCGACCACCACCACCCACTCAAACTAAAGCATCAGCGACAGTCCAATCATTCCAATCTGCTCAGTTGAATAAAAAATGAACCCATAAATTGGAACAACACGCTCAAAGACAATCCCGTTAACCGAGAGAGCGGCTGTACATACGGACGTAAAAGCACCAGTAGTACTGCTAGCATTCCTTACAGAAATTACTAAGATTTATGTATATCTGTTTACGACAGGATTGCTGGTACGACTTTTAGAAAGTGCAGACAGAGGGTGTTACAGAAATATTTCCAATGATAGTATAAGCATGTCGTCAGTGAGGTTTGTCAAATATTGGAACGATAGATAAGAAAGCGTCACATTCTACTCGCTATACGCTCTACTAGTATAGGAGAATCACTTCTCAACCATGAAAGGATACAGGCATCATCACCTCTACTGCAGTTATCAGATTTGTCCCTTCGTCAAACACAGCACAGAACAACGTTTGAAACGATGACGGCTGACAGTGAAAAACTTGCAAACAGAAAACGGCATCTATAGAAAACCCAGAAACAGCTGGGATGGCATGGAACACAGTGGTCTGGGAGAAACAATGAGTTTGCGAATACGAATACGCTCGGGTGTTTTTTCTCTACGAAAACGATGTAAAGGATTCTGAATACTCGACTGAAACTTTGCAGAGAATACAAAACTCTGTAAAACAATAGCACTTTGATGAAATAAAACAAACGATTTTAAAAACACATCGTATTACAAAATGGATTAGCACAAAACATGACATTGGAGTAAACGCGCTCTGTTGACAATCCCTGCTCAACGGCGTGCCGATACGTAGTGTCTCTGTTGAGCCTTTCGTAAAATCTTTCTCATTCATTCGTTCACTTATTTTTTTTTACTTTAGTCGTATGAAGTACGTAGTACTACATCGTTCTTACACGCTTGTTTTCGGCTCCATTCTAAGTAATCAGTTGTGATAACCTACATTTGTATTCTTCTTCTGAATTCGTGGTGACCTTGAACTTAGGTGGGCTAATATGATTGAACGGTTACTGTTGTATCACTCGTAGTAGGACGTTCTTCTACGATTTTGAAGGGGCGAACGATTCTGTTGGCAGTGATACGGTGGCCTATATCACCTGTCCTCTGGTTGCTCGTCGAGTGACCCAAGTGGACGCCAGTAGATCTTCCATTTTTCCCTGTCGTGTTCAAGAGCAGCCCACGGGGTTCTGGTCGCTCTAGGGACTCGCTGAGCACCATAGCTTTTTCCTAGGCATTTCGTGAAGGACTCTGACCATCGGGTTGGTGGTTTTCCAGCTGCGCGTTTGGCATTCCGCGAAATCCAGTCACGGCTTTTGTTCATCAGTTATCGCTCAAGCCCATAACGTGTCCGGTCCACCTCATCTTCGGCAATTTGGCGTGTAGAATGGCATCTCTGATTTTTGATCGTTAACGCAGGTCGGCGCTTCGGATCCCTTCCCTCACTTATGTGACACGGGATACTCCTCGCATGGTCCTTTCGGCTGCGTGTTCTATAACGCTGAGTGATATTTTATTCTGTTTACATGGCGGCTAAGTTTCGAATTCGTCTTGCTACTCTTGCCATTTCGTGTTGGCAATTGAGCTCGATTGTTTGTGGTGATTGGAATTTTTTTGTGACTTTTCGAACTTTCAGCTTTAGTAGCACTAATGTGAAGGTGTTGAATAAGCCGGTCCTTTTCCTCGTTCATCTTATCAAGAACGGCACCTTCCCAGCAGTCGACTAGGGAACTGAATGAATCCCAGTTCATGGTGGTTTTGGGAGCTCGTTTTTTGAGCTTAGCAACTTTTTTCCTTCCTGCGAAAAGTGGAATCTTGCGAGAAAGAGGTAATGGTCTGATCTCGTATAGAATTTTGAAACAACAGCTACGCAAAACGTTCGATTTACTACGAAGTTGCTAATTTCGTCATGGTACTCTCAATTCGGATACTGACACGTTCAGCGTTGACAGCTGGACTTCTGGAATTGTTAATTACCATGAGTTTTAGTCGTCATGACAAACTTAGGCGGCTGCACACCCTGTTCGTTTCATTCAAATTTGTGGATCTCAGTATGATTGTCGTCTGACGTTTTCCTGAGCTCAACAGTAGATCTGAAACCGCCAATGATTACCGTGCAGAAAGCGTGGTCTTTTCCTTAGAGCCTTCCGAAGTTCATACAGAACACTTTGACCTCGATCAAAGTCGATTTAAGTCCACATCTTTTTAATAGTAACTGTCCGATTTGGGTTTCTACCTCTTCTAATGGGTCGACGTTCACGACCAAACTCGTGTTGACTAGGACGCCGACGGCGCCGACTCTTCTAGTGTTTCGAGGAACAGTTCTTCCGCGGTGTCATAGACGGCCGTAAATTTGCGGTGTTCTCGTCACAGCCGGTACGATGATGTCACACCTTATTTTTCCTTCCTCCATCATCTGGTTCCGTATGAAGGACTCAAATCCAAGCGGGCATACAGTGTAGGTACAGATCGTAACCATTGTCCCTTATGATTTAGGTAGCCTAGAATGGCCTTCAGATTTTAGCACCTTCTCTGTACTAGTCCTAATCAACACTGCCGTATCGGGGTTCTTTCGTGGTCACGGGAATGAGGTCCACCTATTTTATCGCGTTTAGCTGTGGTAACTATACATAGCTTGTTGAGCTCTTAACGTGGTGTTGGAAATACTCACGAGTTGTTGCGAGTCTCTCCTGGAGTAGGCATAGTGTTTATGTGTTGTAGGCGACTCCTAATCACCTCTCTTGCAGACTTTTGGTCGAATTGAATTGTAGAATACAATCTGTACAAATCAAAACACACCCATGTGTACTTGCATAAAAATGTATAAAGTGCCAAAGAGTGCCTATTTGTGCCAAATAGGTGGAGCAGAAGCAAAGAGTCTATCTCTTGTATCCATTTTCATTTGAGGGACGCGAAAGGTTGCTTTTCGTACGCGTTTAACACATATCCCCCTAACCCCATAACACGTAGGTGGAAACCTAGGGATGCGCCGTGTAGTCTCGCGACTAACCGGCTGGGGATCCCTTAGAGAGATTCTTGGTAGCTATACGATATCACTTCTTTAGGTATAAAGGTGCGCAAAGTTCAGTCAGTGTTAGAGACTAGAATGGAACCAAGTTATTTAGTATACCAAACTAATGAAGTATTCATATACTTCAAGCATAACGTTTCCATGATCAAGATTCCTAGTGTCCACGAATAAAAGCTCTAAAACTCCGTGGAGTGGTGTGCCGTGCATTAAACTTCGTTAAGCATCATTGGAGGCGATTAAATGCATATCTGACCAAGCTGATATCCTCTTAGACAAGTCTGATATCAGTTTGCTTCCTCCGGGAGATGGAGGGTTTGGTGAGCCTGTGGCGCGGCGATCGATCCTATGTGTATTAGAGGCATCCGACCACTGCGATACACGCGCTCCACTAACACGGCTACTAACGCTAAACCCTTTGACCTTTTGAATCGCTGCTATAATTTTCTTTTCATCTAAACCATCTCTTATATTTCACAGTGTTGTGAGAAACATTTCACACACTTCATTGGACTTTTTCGTTTTTTTTTTCTAGAAAATGAATTTTCGACTGATCACTTAGTTTGAGTGGAATTGGAAATTTCTATGTGAGACATAGCACACACGAGTGGTCAGTTTCCGTCGTTGATTGCTTCTATAACATCCATTATATCACTGAATAATCACGAATAATCCTTAGAAACAACTATTCTTTCCATTTCAAAAGTCGTGTTGTGCGAATATCAGAGAGCTTTCAGAATAGTCCGCAAATGGCTTCTCGTGGTCCTGTACGCCTTGCAGAAGAAATTGATAAGATAGCGTCCGATGAGTGTCTGTTGCGTGATATGGAGATTGTAAGATGAATAACTATGTCAAAATATAATTACAATGAGGCTGAAATATTTGCAAAACGCCGGACCTCTTGTGTGCGGTGGGGATCGAACACGTTATTACCCTCTTCTGGGGCTAACTCGTTCACCACCACACCTTGCGCGTCCTTCGTTTCGCCTTTCTCTTAACCATGTTCACTGAATAATTGAAACCATTTTTTGTAGCTTCCTTCCAACTATTTCTTTGAAATACCGAAGACGATTTGGAAAATTCGTTCAACAAATAGCAAACAAGGTGAAGCTCGTTTAGTTTCTTCTCGGATTTTAATTATTTGTTGGAAATTTTTCAGTAGCACTACAGTTTCCTGAAGGCTTGATAATGTACTCGGGATTGATTGCCGATATTCTTGAAAAGCATACTGGCTGCGTTACCGTAATCATGGGAGATGTAACGTATGGAGCTTGTTGCGTCGACGATTATACTGCAAAGTCTTTAGGTAATCCTATATTTCACGTTTCATAAAATTTGTTTTCATTAGTATTAAATTGTCCTGCCAACGGTTTACCGCCTCATCGTGGCTGGGAGGTGTACCTGGGTGTCTGGCTGCGATGTACAGCGGCGGGATCCATCCTCCCTCCAAAAGGGCTTCCCCAACCTGGGAAGGCGTCCGGCATTTCCATCAGGAAGCCCAGCTAAGCATAAACCAGTATCAGGATCGACCACTGTTTTGGTATCAAAGTCACATGGTGGCAAATTTACCTCTGATCCACAAGGACTATGACTGCCAATGGTGGCAAGGACCTGGGGCAAACTTTGGCGAGGCTGACCTCGGGATTCCAGGGACCCACAGTGGCTAAACCAGCAAAACTCTGAAAAAGTAGATTTCTTGTTGAGATCCGCACAACCGTTCATGTATCTAAATGTCCAAGTAGGTATTAAATTGTACTGGGTTGAATTTTTCCACTTTACTAATGATGATGACATTCGAGCGTAATGAGGAATTGGTATTAATTCCAATCTTAACCTTTTTTCTACTGCCTATTCTTTTTAACGGCAGGGTATTTGCGAAATACAATCACTATAATGCTGAGATATTTGCAAAACTCCGGACCGCAGGTGTCTGCGGTGGGGAACGAACGCGCTGTTGTCATTTCCGGGGAGTAACGCGTTCACCACCACACCATGCGGGTCCTTCGTTTCGCCTGCTCTTAGTTCTATCGATCTTTACCATTAGCAATCATCCGTCAGTGGTATTAATCTATCAATAGAACTAGCTGAGAGACAGGCGAAACGAAAGACCCGCATGGTGTGGCGGTGAACGCGTTACTCCCCGGAAAGGACAATAGCACGTTCGTTCTCCACCGCAGACACCTGCGGTCCGGAGTCTTGCAAATATCTCAGCATTATAGTAGTGATATTAATTCGTTATTAAATTTTCTCGTACTTAACCGTCTTCCATTAAACCTCTTCCACACCTTTTGCAACTGAGTTGTGTTCACAGTAGTTGTTTTCTAAACACCACAACAGGATGCACTTCATAGCATACGGTCTACTCATGGATAAGCTTGCGCATAGAAATCTCGAACACCTTTAAAGGATACAGAAAGGGGAAAGTCGTTAGGCCAGGTGTTCACATACCTCAGTTGTACAGGTCGAGCAAAACTCTATAAAGTATATTAGTAGGTCTAGTTCTATCATATCGCAGTGCCTGTGATAACCTTCAAGTGGAGGTTTTGTTCACAATGACAAACAGTTACGATTCGTCATTCGGTGAGAAACGTGTGCTACCTGGTTAGTGCTGGATAAGAAATACTCAACAGGGTAAATGTAGTTGGACTGTTTGCTCTCATCCAGAGAATATCTCTCAACGAAAACCAACTACAAGCTGACGTAGTGCACGTTTTAAAACGAACACAATGGCGCAGAAGTCACATGTTCTTGGCGATTTTGTGCAAGATCGTGCTCAATACAGCAGAAGAAGACAACTTTATTACAAATTTCTTGAGTTCCGTCCTGGTGTTAGACGATTTCTCCAGTTCTTCCATATTTCTTTATTTTAGTTGCAAAGTTTGATCTATTTTATGATGCGACTTACTGGTTCATTATGGTCACAGCTGCCTTGTTCCAATACAAAATACTGAAGGAATCGCTATGCTTTATGTATTCGTCAGTATTGGCATTAATATCACCAACTTCGTGGACTGTATTCGATCGAATTTTGCTGCGCCATGTCGAATAGGCCTGGTCAGCACAATTCAGTTTGTGACGTCACTTCAGGCATGATTATTATTATTATTGTTAGACTGTCTGTTTTGTCTATTACTTTTGATTATGACTGATCTTATGTTTCTGTCTCAGGCAGTGAGTAATGCTTTGGAAAACACTGGTTTGGAAATAGTGCTTCCGCAGTGCAAACCGTTGAGTCCGGGAGAAATTTTAGGTTGTACATCTCCGCGACTCGACAATAGTTGTGACGTAGTAATGTAAGTTTTTTTTACCTCCACATGGTTGTGTTTAAATTGATTGTATAGGAAAGGTGAACTATTACTTGTAGAGTGGCTTTTTTTAATCTTGATACTGTTCTTATTTCCAGTTGCATACTGGTTTAGATATCTTGGTGATGGCAGATTTCATCTTGAATCTTTAATGATTCATAATCCTGATGTTATGGCCTATCAATATGATCCCTATTCGAGGAAATTTACTCGAGAGCGCTATGACTTTAACGTTCTGATGAAGAACAGAAAAGGTATGGGCTATAATGCAATAATAGCGTCGTTCTATTCAATGTTCTCCGAGAGTATATTTTATGCTGCAATTGAATAAATAGAGACGCGTGTGGCGCAGTAGTCGATGACATCCTGTAATACACATGGGATCGACTCCTGGCCCGCCAAGCCTTCCATCTCTCCGGAGTAGGTAAATTGATATCAAACTTCTCTAGGAGGACAGCAACACAGGCTCGATGTATCGGTAGGCCACCGCGAGTCACTGTAAAGGCCAGATATGCATCCAGTCACCTTCAACGATGCTTTATTAAGTGGAATGCATGGCACATTCCTCAGGGACTCGTCAACGCCGAGAGCTTTTAGTTGAATAAATTCATTTGCAAATTTGTGTTTACTTTTTGCTATTGTTAACTACTGGTAGAGTATAAGTTCTCCGATGCACTGACTTCGTTACACTTCCCTATTATAGGAGCAATCGATGTTGCCCGTAGATGCACTACATTTGGTCTAATCCAAGGAACTCTTGGTCGGCAAGGCAACATCAAGGTTGTCCAAGTATGTGCACTTTTTTCATTTGGAATGTGTTCTATTTTGGTTTGGAACGAAAATTGAGCCTAGAAGCATTTTTGGAGAACATGTAAAACTTCTTTGGATACTCTGTTTCATAACGTCTAGAAAGTTTTCACAGTCAGCACTCCAAATGGCTTTTTTCAGGAACTTGAAAGGAAGTTAATTAGTAGAAATAAGAAGTTTGTGCGAGTTCTTCTTTCCGAGATTTTCCCTCGGAAGTTGGAAAAATTCGAAGAAGTTGATTGGTTTGTATTTTTTTGGCTCTGGATTTCTTTATAGTACGATTAAAACGTTTTTTCAGTTGGGTGCAAGTAGCATGTCCGCGCCTATCCATTGACTGGGGTGCCGAATTTAGGAAGCCATTATTATCTCCATTTGAGCTTATGGTTGCTCTTGATGAGGCCAGTTTGGGCTATTTGAAGTATACCGTCATACTTTTAAACATTGATCTAGCGAATTCTAAACCAGTAACACCTGGTGTTCTTTAAATGCATTGTTGTCATCTGAAATGAAAGGTATCACTCCACAAGTATTATGCTCAGGTGTCACTTCCTTCTTCTCATTATCCAATGGACTACTACTCAAACGATTCTCTTGGTCCTTGGACGAATAATCATGAATCACACCGACCATTGAGAACAAAACATCGACAGAAACTAATAGTAACAGAAGGAGTTGTTTGACTGTAAGTTACAAAAATTCCTGGTCTCCTCTGTCCCTGTAGAAATTGGTTTTGAACAATGTCTTGACCGCCACAACTGACATTGTCTAAAGAATGGTTTTCCATTTTGTTTTCAACAAATTAATTGTAAATCTTTCATACCTGAAGATGCTGCGGATTTCTAAAAAATGTAAGTTTTACATTCTCTGAGAGTTGTATGCTTTGTCTTCTACTCTACGTTCATGCTAATTCATTATTGTGCTAGTTGGCCAGTGGAGTGTAGAATTGGTGTGGGTAGATTTTCTACTATTTGTCGTATTTCCTTTACTCTACTTTTTACCAATGTTCCGTGTGTGTTTGCGATTTTCTGGGTTCTTATCCATCTAAGAGCTATCTCGGAATCAGAGAAAATCATATCCGTGCCGGTGGTGTGGCTTTTTATGGCTTCGTGAATAGACTAAGCCAACCGCGTTGCCATTCTTAAAGAATTTAATTTGAGTTTTAGTATAGTAGGGTTATTCTCGAGTGAAGGTAGCCTGGACTTTCCCACAAGTAGCTGTGATTCATTGTTTAAGACAGTGCATGCGCAAGTGGCCATACACTGTTTGGTTGCGTCTGCGAAAGGAACTAGTTTAGTTGGAACACCGTTTAGATGATTTCTTGTGGCATATTGGCTTCAAATCAATTGGCATTTTCTACTATTTTGTTCCATTTTTCTTGGTGTTCGTTTGAAAGTAATGAATCCCATGTGTTTTGCTCAGCTATGGCTCGTTTTGTCAGTTTCGGTTTTTTGGGATATTGACATGAGACAAAGAGTTTGTCTCCCTGAAAATCCCACTTTATTCCCGAAATTTTTTGGGTGGTGTTTCTTGATAATTCCTCTTGAGGAATTTGTTCCATGAGTTGTTGGTTGTTGTTAAGAAATTCGTGGCAATTCATATTCAAATCGAGGAATATTTGTTTCCATTTTTTATATATCTTAAATACCTCATGTACTGATGTTGCTGTGAGGATAACGTTGTCCATATATGTGTTATTGACGAGATCTTCGACAAACTTTGAGTCATGTAGACAGTTGTTTAAGTGATACTTGATTGTTCCTACTAAGAGGAATGGCGAGCAGTTCAATCCAAAAGTAACGCGTGTAAATCTGTAGGTGACCATATTCTGTTGTTCGAAGGGTTTTGAGATGTCGCGCATCCAAAGGAATCGTGTGGCATCTCTATCTTATTCGTGCAATCGTATTTGCAGAAAGGGTTTTTCGACATCGCTATTTAACGCGATGTTACCAAAGCGGAATCGAAGCGGAATATCGCATATTTGAGGCAGGAAATTGGGTCCTTGGTGAAGTACCTCGTTTAGTGATGGAGCCTCTTTTGTGTGGGCTGAGCCGTCGTAAACAGTTCTTATTTTCGTTGTTTCTTTCTGTGGCATAAGCACGGCGTGATGTGGAAGATAGTGTATAACTGAGCCGTTCAATGGTTTATATTCGTCAACTTCTTCCATGATGTTTTGATGTAATTGACTTGCAATTGTTTCGTGGTACTCTTGCAGCAACTTGGGATTTTGTTTAAATTTTGTGATTATTGCTTGTAATTGTTTTCCTGCCACGGCTTTATTTTCTGGTAACGTTGTTGCATCGTTGTTTCACGGAAGGCGCACGTAGTATCCGTCTCCTCTTTTTTCTACCGTTTCTTGAAATTGTTTCCAGATCGCCGTATTTTGTTCTTGTAACTCTTGTTTGTTGGATCTCATAAATTCTTTATCAGCGGGTGATTCGAATGCCCAAGGGTTTTTCTCCGATTCGGTTATCTCATATGAGGCTTGTGTGGTGCTGGTTGCGGGAACGATATCAATGCCCGGTTCATTTTGCTGCTTGTATGTGCCTGCTGTTATAAGGTAGCCGAATCCCGATGGGATTAGTGTCAGTCCCAACGGCAATGTATTATTCAGAGGTGTTCCCTTATCTAATACTTTTGGCGCATCTCGGCTACCGAGCAGGATTTTAGGATGCATGATAATGCGGGTCGGATCTGTTGAAAGAGGAATGTTATTTCGTTGGAGAAATTCCCGATCTTCCCCACTTAGGCTGCAGCGCTTTAATGGCTGTGTGATCGTGTCAGTTCTAGTCACCGCTATTTCATGTTCTGCTCCGTGAGTATCTCGCAATATTATGGAGGTGATTCCGTATTTCTTTATATCTACTTTGGAATATCCAAATTTGTGAATTGCTAACTCAGTTGAGTATGCATCATCTTTTAATTGCAAGTTCTTGGCAAAATCGTTAGTAATAAATGATCGATCGGTTGCCGTATCTAGTAGCACTTCTACTACCTCCTTTTTAGTCTTGTCTGGGTTGAGTGTTATTGCTTGTGCAGCCCAAATCTGCACTTTGGATTCATATTGCTTTATAGTATGAAAAACAATGGAATGATCGCCTTATGTCTCATTGGAGGGTACTGTATTGACCGTGGGCGGGGACGTCCTCTTTGTTAGGTTGTGCGGTTTTGGTTTTTCTCTTGGAGCCTCTTTTCGAGGTTTAGGTCTGCTTGGTAGGTGCTGGTACCTACAAATGGAAGTATAATGTCCGTGCTTGATACAATTTCGGCACTGGCATCCTTTGCACTCGGGCAAGCTACGATATGATGGATCGCAATCGTAACAAGATTGCGATTTTTTATCACTTTTACTCTTTTTTGTTGAGTTTTTATCGTAGTACACTCGAATGGTAAGTGTATTACCTTGTTACACAAGAAATATGGTTGTGGTTTTTTTTGTGAATGTTCTCTGATGGCTTGTTTTCGCTTTCGATGAACGATTATTCCATGTTTTATTGTGGTCGTTTCTTGCTACTAAAGATTTGCCTGTTTGACTTTCTGTTGTAAGTTCTTGGGCTATCTATTCCTTGATTGCTTGGAAGAGTTTATCTGTTTTGCGTGTTTCGTTGGCCCCACGTTGTCGTGTTTCTTGTAAAGCGTGTCGCTGAATTTTTTCGTGAGCATTTTTAGGAGTTGTTGTTGGAGATAAATGTTATCGACTTGCTCTCGTTTATTACGTTATTGGCAGACTATCGAGTGAGGAGTTTCAAACAATATTTTTTGATCTTTTAGTCGTTCGCTATTCGCTTGTGCTTTCTGTAGCCGATCCAAAATTGATTTATCAAGGTTTGCCTGTTGCCAAACTTGGCCTTTAGATGATGTATCACTATGGGATAGGATTGTCGTGAAATTTCATATTGCTTGACGAAAGTTCTAGCTTTCTCATGGAGAGGGTTTAATAGATAGTTCATTTTGAAGTGGCCGCCCATCTGCGTTGAATCAACGGAGTTCTCGAATGCCTCTCAAAATATTTCCCATTCCCATACATCTCCGCTAAAATTGGGGATGGGAATGGGTGGAAGATTTGTCACCGGTGGAGCGGTATTTGAGTCGTTCTTAGCGTTGTTTTTTGTGCTGTCTAGTTCAATTTCAACACGAGAAGATTGGCGATGTAGTCTTCTGCCTAATCGGTGTGTTCCAGTAAACTATGCACGTTTAGTTTTACAACTTCCATTAGTTCCTCTCGTATTGGAGTTTGCAGCTCGAAGTTGTCTGCCGCTTTAGTGTAATTGTCCACTGCTGTCTCCGGACTGTCTCGATCCTTTTTAATGGCCGATGTCGCTTGATTTATAGTGTCTTTTCGTGTAACGAAGTATTCCATTCGTTGAGGTTCGTCAGGAGGATGTATACTGGAGTGTTTACCTCGTAGTTATACTTGTTAAATGAGGGTTTGAGGTGGTTAATGGCTTTTGTTAGTGCGACTAGGCGGGAAGAAAGGGTGGAATGCTCGACTTTGTGTGTCTTTGCCACGTGGGGCTTTTTTCGTAACGACCATGATAACCTTGAAGTTGGGTTAACAGTTTACAGCAATAATAACGATACAGTAATAACCACAATAACCATGGGACGATATCTAGTTAGGTGAATCGATACGAGCGAAGCACTTGAGCGATGCATATGAGCACTGATTGCGGAGATGCTGAGGCATTGGGAATACAGAGTCTGTCATACATTATACTGAAATTTTCTTATATTATTTCTGTAATGGGTGGAGATTTGGATGAATCAGAGACAGTGCTTAGAGAGATATTCTGAAGCTTTCTCAGCTAATAGAATCTGATAGAGCTACTTGCACAGAACGTTCATGAACTCTTTACAGTAGCTTGTGCAGAAAGTGCATTTGATAGCAATACACTGGCTTATGCAAAAAGTTGGTTGCAACGGCAGTGCTGGAAAGTATATGCGGCTGACACCTGATCATTCAGTTCCTAAACTGAGACAAAGAAGAGCGGTATATACAAAGAAGTAACAGAATACCTTTCCACCCAGCTACTAGGCAAGTGCACGGGATGGTCGCTAAGAGGCAATTTACAGAAGATGCAGGAATAGATTTAGGATAATTACAAGTAAACAGTTAATATAGGAAACATGCGATATTATTGAAAACAGGAACTATTTCAGGAATAGTTGTGTAGTTATTGAAATTCACTAATTCTCAAGAGCCCCGGTTGGTGTAAATTTGTACCTTAAGTTTTTCATTACAATTGTGTGTTTTTCTTTTGTTTACCTCAAAATCCACTTTTTTGTTTCTTTTATCCATCATGGTTTGTCGTTCTAATGCGTTATAATGTTGACTCCTTTAGGAAATGTTGTTTTCCGATCTCAAAGCGGATTTTTCTCGAATAAAGGTTCTTTTCTCAAGTATTTGCATTCTTATAAACCTTACAAATGTTTCGATACATGATCAGCGCCTCGGAATACGGTGTTTTGAGCCAGTTGTCACAGTACCAAATAATGGCCAGTTCGAGATAGAATGCTTGACTTTGTATGAATTTGCCACACGGCACATTTTATTATTTGCCTTAGAGCAAACTACAAACACGTGAAATTAAACGACCTGGTGAGGAACTGATGAATCCGGGAAATCTTCTCTTCATCGATTTCTTATAGCAAGATTAAAGTAAGTTGTACTTCAAATATGTCA